CACACGGCTAAGTTTGTATTTTTAGTAGAGATGGGGTTTCTCCATGTTGGTCAGGCTGGTCTCGAACTCCCCGACCTCAGGTGATCCGCCTACCTCGGCCTCCCAAAGTGCTGGGATTACAGGCGTGAGCCACCACGCCCGGCCTATTGGTTCTATTTCTCCAGAGAACCCTCACTACTACAGCTACCCCTCCCTGGGCCTCAGTTTCCCCTTCTGTCCATCAGTGAGGCTGGAGGCTGCCAGGGGCCGACGGCTCACACCTGGCCCTCCTGCCCCTGCCCCTGGTTCCGGGGCAGCCTGCACAGGCCAGGCAGTGGCCGAGGCCCACCTTCCCCACCCAGCCACTGCGGTTCAGCGGCTGACCTCCCAGCCCAGAAACGGAAACTCTTTTTCTGTTGCAAAACGGAAAGTGTCCCCATTAAAAACTCACTTCCCGCTGGCTCCCCCCGCCCCGGGCCCCGCCGTCTGCTTTCTCTGCCTATGAACCGGCCCACTCTGGGCGACCCACTCTGGGGACCTCGTGTGCGTGGAGTCACACAGTGTTTGTCCTTTTGTGGCTTGTGCCCCTCGGTGTGACGTCCTCGAGGTTCCTCCACGCTGAGGTGGATGTGGGAGCCCTTCGTTCCTTCCTTCCTGAGGTGACTCCCTCTGTGCGGCATCACCGCGCTGTTTGCTCCTTCCCGCGGTGGACGCCGGGCTGCTGCTTCCGCCTGGCCGCTGATGTGAACTGCGCTGCTGGGAACGTGGCGCACCGACTTCCATCTTTTTAAGGCTGATCCTACTCCGTGTATGTAACAACTTGGTTTTGCAGGTTACATTGGGATTGAAAACGTAAGACCCCAAACCAACCTTGGGTTCTGTGCCTTAGTTGGGGACGATGGTGCCCCTGTGCCCAGGGCAGGCGTCCTGCGCTCTCACGGCCCTGGCCAGCGGCCCCGGCAGTGCCCCTCCGGCCACACTCCGGCCAGGTTTTTCAAGGCTGGACAAACAGGGGCCCCACTGGAGGGTGGGGAAGACTGACTGGGGTCAGAGGTATGGGGAGAACACGTGGAGATCCACTCAAGAAGGGGAGCGATTGTGCCACAGTCGAGGGGGCCACGGGGATGGTGTGGCCTCGGTCACCCTCCGGAGGACCCTCCACATCCTGAACTCTCCAGAAACTCGGGAGCCTCACCCAGACGCAAAGTGAGGTTCGTCCACACTGGAGCCCTGACGCACGAGGGCTGAGACCACCAGGACTCACACCACAGCCACTCATGCGGCCCCACCAGCTCCCAGGGCCTTGGCGCTGCACCCAGATGGCCAGCCCTATCTCCTGTACCCGAGGGTGGGTTCCCTTCAGAGGTCCCCCCGCTCATCTTCGCTCCTGCTGGGAGCCCTGACCAGAGCCCTCCCCCTCCCGCCCCCAATTCCAAGGACCCTGGGCTCCATCCACGCGCCCACAGCACCTGTGGTCCCCGCGCACAGTGAGGCGTCCAGCGCCCGCGCACTCCGCAGACCGGCCGGGGTGGGCGGGGGTGGGGTGGGGTGGGGCGCAGGGGTGGGGGCGGCG